AAGTCTTTGCAGCAAAACAACCCCAATGTCTATCTGAGCAGATAAGGTCATGCTGGAAGCCAGTCCCGCCCTGAAAACCCCAAAGACACACAGTCATCCCTTTGTGCTCTGATTAAGGAGACCGATGGATGCTTGTAATCAGCATATTATTGATAGTCTTGAGAAAGGCTCTGAGTCACTGAAGCCATTAGCAAGGATAAAAGAGGCTTAATTGTTTTGTGAGTGTGTGTGTGTGTGTGTGTGTGTGTGTGTGTGTGTGTGCATTTTATGGTGAGCACATGTTCCTGGGCTAAGATCAGGCTAATTAAATCCATTTTCTTAGCTAGTAACTTTTTCCCCCTCTTAATTTAGAGTGTTAATTATGGAGCTGAACAGAGGAAGTGTGTGTGTGTGTGTGTGTGTGTGTGTTTTCAGACCAGAGCCAGATGCACTGAGACAACCTGCATGAAGTTTAAATATTGACACAATACCTGTTTTTGGTTACTAACCTCATCTTTGATAAAGGTCCAACTGTGGCTGCAGAACCACGTAAATCCTCCCTGTTATGGAACATTTCCACGTCCCAAGCAGGAATCCATGTTCTCTTGTTGAAAGCATCCACCAACAGGCCTGTCCTATCATCACCATCACTGTGTGGTACAAGAAGACATCTGCGCTGAACCAGTGGTGTGGAACCGTATTCTCAGCAATGATATCATTATGGCTGCCAGACACGAGAGGACTCTACACTCGCCACGAGACATGCACCATTAGTTCTGATGGTCCATGATGAGCGTGCACTTGGACCCTGACTGTACTTGTGTGTGCCTGCGCCCTTGGGGTCAAATATCCTGTCAATGGAAGCGGCTGATTCAGGACTGTCAGTCATTACGCTTGTCGACTTGAGTCCAAGCTGCTAAAACAGTTAGACATTCACGGGAAGACAAGCATCCCCAGCATGAGATTGATTCTGTGCAACAAAAGCAAGACATTATGGCTTTTTAACGCTCTGATGACTTCTCCTAAAGCTGCAGGAAAGTTTTTTTTAGTAGTAGAAATCATCCTGGTGGCCTCTGAAAATGTTTTTGTTTCTAATAAAGAGCTGCCTTTACCATCATGGAAAATACCAGAAAACCTTGTATTTGTACCAAGAATTCATATTAAATGTGATTATGGCTGAGCACCTTTTCACCCTGTTGGTCGGTAATATTTCCTTTGGATTCCTGTCTTTCAAATATTTGACAATATAGTTGGTATAATACTAAAAACGTCTAAATGGAGCATCCGGTTGCTAACTCTAGCATTTAGCGTGTAGTGACTTTAGCATGCTTGTCTCTTCAAATCTTAAAATGTAGCTACCAACCCTGGCATCCGAATAATGCTGCTAAAATCTAAGCTCAGAATCCAGAAAAGGCTGCTAATAACAGGAAACCAAAAATACTAATCCTAGCAAATAGGGTGCATTCCATTTGTAATCAGAACTCAGAAATTCCAACTTCAGAGAAGGAAAAGCCAAATGGAACGCCCTCCTGGAGTCAAATCTCCCACTCAGAGTGTGGGATTTTTTAAATTGGTGTTGTGGAGTGTTAAATTGAGGAGAAATACTTTATTTAAATAATGGAACATAAATGCAGACACTCTTCAAATAACGAAATATTCACAAACCTAAAAGGAAAATGAGCATCCATGTCAGAATCCCAACTTTTCTGACTGTGATAACTGGAACACTGTTAACCCGGGTGTGGTGTCTTTCACACCCGAGTTCTGACTTCTGAGCTAAAGAGAATGCAATTCCCCCAACACTAATATTTAGCTGCTAACCCTAGCATTCAGATGCTAACTCTAACATTTAACCTTTGTACTGCAAACTCTAGGAATGGCAAATTCTACAGTAGCTAATTGCAGATTGTGATGTAACGTTGCAATGCATTGTGGGATTTACCCCTAGACAAGCTAGCGTGTATTTTGCACGGGTGCCTATGCGTTGGAGTCGCTCTGCTCGTCTCACAGTTGTAGTTTTGTCTCCTAAATATGTTGAAACAGTAAGGAACTAAGCACCACTGTTGGGGAGGTGCAAATCGGACTCTACATACCCAGATCAGATGTCAGAGGGGATGTTTTTTAATTCTTTTTCCAAAGCTGGGTAAGGTCTGTGACCACATGAAATAACTGGAAAGGGAAACGGGCCAAGCTAAAGACAGAAAAAGTGAAGCAATATTTATGTGGAAGAGCGGATTTCAGCGGAGATCAAGGGGTGCCTGTATACAGTATTTGTTCTCTACATTTTGCTGGTGGGAAAGGTCCTATGTCCAAGAATAATGAAAGGATACTAGCAACGCTCTCAGATGTGGAGTTATCCAGGAGGCAGCGTGTAAACGAAGATGTCCAGCTGAACATCTCGACCAAACTGCATCCAAACATGGATGAAAACGTCTTTAGACAAGAGGTGGGTGGTTTGTAAACAGTAGTGACACAAATTATAACCCAAGAGTAAAATAGGGGTAGTGAGCGTGACGTCATCACCGACGCAGCCACCCTGTTGGAGGCGTGTGAGTCCTTACTGGTTGCTTGTTGAGTCCTTACTGGTTGCTTGTTCCTACTGTAAACAGCGCGCTCAGTCTCGTTCTTGCGGCTTAAATCAATCTATTATTCATTTGATCGGCTATATTACACAGCTATGGTAAATCGTTGCTGTGTTGTGAGGTGACACACGTGATTGCCAGGTGAATAAAAATGGAAAACAAGCTAACTTTTCAACGTTTTCCTGCTTGGAGGCAAAACCACAGAGACCAAGTATCTAGCATAACAAAGTCTCGTCGGCTCACTTGGATCGCTGCTGTAAGGCGACCAAACATCACCTTCGGAGGTATTTTCATTCTGGTAAGTTAGAGATGGTGTACGTTTACATCGTTTCTTTTCTTCAACCACAACATGCACACGAAACACACACACACACACAGAGAGAGAGAGAGAGAGAGAGAGAGAGAGAGAGAGAGAGAGTGAGAGAGAGAGGCTACTCTCACATACCGTTAAGCTAAAGCGGGCGCACTGACACACAACACAACTCCTCTTGCTACATTTCATCTGTGGGATGACAAATTTGATTGTTTTACTAGAAAAACCAACAAATTAAATGTTTACCTCTCATCCGGACGTCATTCGCTCACACCACAAACAAGAAACCCGAAAATGTCTGTAATGCAGAACTGCAGCGGCAACAATATGTCACCGGTGCTCCAGTCATGGGTCTTTCATGTGGATCTAAACCATTTATAACGCTGATTCTGTCCACATACCGGTCCCAACGTCTTTATTTAACGTATCCCTGTATATTCTGCATCCTTTGTGGGATTTTATGTTGTTTAACACTTTCTTTCACCAAAAACTGCTTCTTCTCTGCGACAGTACCATTTGTTTACAGCTTCCGACGTGTCCGCGCACATCCCAGAATGCTATGCGTAATCACATGTGATCACAAGCCCTATAATCACTAAGTGCTGAGTAACTTTGAGCATAAAATTTAGAGTTTTTTTAATTGGCAAATGCACTTTTTATTTTTTTTTTGTCTAGCATTAGCTAACACCCAATAGCATTTGCTCAGTGACGTCAACTGTAGAATATTATCCGCTAACCCTAGAGGCCATGCCAACTGAAAGTTTCCTTCAAAGTTCAGTGTTTAGCTGCTAACCGCAGACCTGAGCAGCCCAATAAACCTTTCGGGTGTAGTGTAATTCTTTAAAAGACAAACTACCCATTATGTTTTGCTTTTCATAACCAGGAAAATGTTTGACATTACTAAGTGATAAAATATTCTAATAAACAGTTTAACCAAAATTAAATTCAAAATGTAATCAGTATAAAAAAGTGAAAATGGGCGAATGAAAACTAGCTAGCTTACATTTTAACGTTTCATGCCAACACAAAAAACTCTGCTGTACTTTGGTTTTCCCGACATTGTTAGGAGTTCCCCCTTTTTCATGAGGCTCGTAACACGTTAGAAGCACAATTAACACATTTTGGTCAATTAAATTCAAGGTTTTAGAAAATTTGGCTACATTGTTAGCATTGATGCTCATCATTAGCATGAGATCAGATGGAGAATAAAGAGATGTGTTCGGGTTTTTTTCGTGTGGGAGCTTCTGCTCATTTCACTGCCCTCAGGTGGTCAGACACATCACTGACGTTACAGAGGACGAGCATGAACATTAGCAGCAGAACCGATTGGCTAATAATTCTTTCCTTTAACTGAAAACCGTATTTTCTTTCTACATCTTTGGTTCCTTTGGTAGATGTTGTCCATCGCTCTGCCTCTGTGTGCTGGTACCTGTCAGGCGTCCTGCTGGTGAATCATTAAGTTAGGCTTTTTATTAGCCTCCGGTGTGCTGGGAATGATGGGGGGAGCTCCTGCAGTAAAGCAGCACTGCTGTCAGCCCTACACACGGGAACAAACACCCCATTAAAACAAGGCCTTCACACATTACTGTAATAAAAGCCCCTGCTCTGGCTTTTATGGGCTTTTTAATTATGTCTATTCATCTTCCCAGACTTGTGAGCAACAGTTCATGATGATTTCATGAATACGCTACTACAGGCAGAAACCTGCAGGGGGAGAAATAAGGGGAGGGGTTGGAAATGACCAGAATCTGAAATATGACTATTGTTACCAAGAACTGCATGCTAGCTCAGTGGTAATGGCACACATTAGATTCCTGCAATCAGGGCAGTGGGACGAGTTCCTGCAGGTCCCCCCTAAAAATTAATACCCATCATTCATGCACAGACTCAGCTATTTGGCTTTTTTCCCTCCACACCCAGAGCGCTTTCCTCTCCAAGATTTGTGCATCATAACCACCAAATGACTCAAATGGTGATTTTCCAGGCACATTTTGGTGAAACTGGCTCATTAGTCAAACGAGAAACCCAAATTGCAAAAAGATTTGAGCTTTTGAGGCTTGAGGGTGGCTCCTTTTTCAGATTTTCTTTGATATTCTGCACAAAAGTGAAAGGAGGCAAAGAAGCACCTTTGTTAGAAATGCTTTATTGTCTTAAATCAGGTACGAACAGCATGCCCACTGGGTTTGTGGAGTCTGCTACAGATTACAGCGCTCATGAAAGCTAATGCCACAGCCAGCATTGCACCTGCTCCACACAGCAGGATCGTTGATAAAGTCGAGGCCTCGGAGGGGGGATGAATGGCTTCGAGAGAAAAAAGGACAAAGATTATTGGTTCCATTAGTTACAGCAGTTCGAATTAGCAGTTGAGACAGGCAGAAATATGGAAAAGCGGTACTTACAAGTATCTTGATCATCCTCTTGAGTCTGCAGCTGAGCAGCGGGTTCAGGAGGAGGAATCCTGTCCTCCGGCAGGATTGGGTCCAGAGTAGCTGCACCCCCCTTCCACAAATCTGCAGAAACGCGTGTCAAAGAATATAAACCCTACACTCACTGGTTTTCATAATAATAATAAAAAAAGCTGTTAGTTATTAGCTTTGTAGACACTGTCTACCAAGAATGTCCTCCCTGGATGTGTGCTCATTAGACATCCCAGAGCTGCATAGCGTCGCTCCGGTAAATCGTACCAGTGTCTGCTGCAAGGCTTCGCTTCTCTCTTTGCCCGTCACAGCTGGTCTCACAGCAGCTGCACAGCTGGTTGTCTCCACCTGATGCCACCCATCTGTGCAGAGTTAGGGGGAGAAGAACAGTGCAGTGGTACCCAGATTTAGAAACACACCTGCATGTTTGAACGCTTAAGCTAACCTTTTGGTCTCCATCAAGAACGAGCAGGTTTTGTGCTGCAAGTCAAGGGGAACGTCCAGGGTCGTTGCCTTCAGACTGCACGTTATATAAACCTGCAGGAACAGGAAAAGGATTTTTCCAGAAAAAAAAAGTGTTCGTAACCCCCGTCATTAAATACCTGAGGTGTTCTTTAAAGCTTTAAAATCACATAATCCCTTCTCTTTTGGGTTATAACGATGAGCAACTCAGTTTTTCCTGTAACTAAAACAAAAACTGAGCATCAGTATTAGTACCTTCCTCAAATATCTCATATCTGCTGCCCTCTGGTGGTGGATCAAAGCTGTACAGGGGCTTGATTTCTTTCATGTCATGCAGTTACTATAAAAACATTAAATACATACATTCTGAATTTACCCTTTAGATTGCATCTACCAAGGTTCTATCACCTGTGACATCTTTCTACACCTGAAGCCTTACCTGGAAACGTTTTAAAATAAGAAATGTTAATTGTACAAAGCAAATAACTTTAAGAATATGTTTTAAGAATCATTCTTTAGCCAACCCACAGTTGAGGGAAAGTCTAATTATACTAGCATTTAATATTGTTTGCAAATAATGTTCAACTTATCTTTGAAAGATCCTCATTTCTTAGAAAATTTTTAGTTTAGCTTTTATTTTTATGTTTTTTTTCTACAAATGAACATAAAACATTGTGTAAGTCAACCATAAAGAAAGCTTAAGAGGACAAATCTAAACTGCTCAAACGTGTCAAAAATAGTCTAAAAATGAATATTTATAATACGAGTTGTTTGGAAACTGACTAAACAAAATCAGAGGAGCTGAACTCACAGAGTTCTTGTCAACCGTCTGGAACCTGAAAGCTTCCAGCTGTAAATGAAGTTTATCCTCCCAGCTTCTCGGCATGAAGTAAGACTTGGCTCCTGTCAGCTTAGCATCAGTTAAACACCTTCACGAGTCAAATAAAAAAAAAAAAATTAAAATCCAGGAACAGACAGGTTTCAGGAGACAAATATGCAGGTGTCAGTTCAGATTTGTTGTAGTTTCTCACCCGTGGTTGGTGACGAGGGGGTATCTGGGCGTAGATTCAGGGTCAGGATGGGCCGTAGCCACGCAGCTGTCCACAAAGAGCCTCAGAGGAACATGGTTACCCCGGAGGACGGACGCCTCAATGTTCATGATCTCCCTCAGGAAGTAGGCATTGTAAGGCATCCGAGAAAGCCAGTCCTCTAATTTAAATAGATAAAAACATGTGCTGCAAGTGGAAAACTAGAATTGGGGCCATCTAGGATTAGGAGGCTAAAACAATTCAAGGGAGGGTAAATAATAACAACCAATAAAATCCCAAATGAATCATGAACAACCAGGATAAGAAACTCAGAGGACCTAAAGGCAGTTATAAACCTTCAACATTTATATGAAATACATCCAGTTTTCTACCAAGTAATCAGCAGATGGAGCGAGGCTGGGTTAGACCAGCGAGCTCATCAGAGCAGTTATTATCTGCTGTTTGGAATTAATTAGAAGCTATAATCAGCTGTATATTGATCGCCTCGATGTGCGAGTGACCCCGATGGGTCATCTGCAGAAGGCATGTAATTTCATCTCATCACCATGCAGCTAAAAGTTTCCCTCTTGTTTAACAGTTGCAAAGTTTGCAAAGCTCTGAGTGATTGCAACCCCCCGCAGAAAACAAAACTAGAGTCGCTTATGACCCACCCGACATGAGTCGTAAAGAGAACTGCAGCTGCTGATTCGTCTGCATTTCACTAGCGAACGTTGTCCACGTCGGCCTCATGGCGTTGCTGCTCACATAGTTCCTCCTATTGCAACAAACAGATGAAGGAAGGCACGAAAGACTCATTGGGAATGTTACATATTAACTGCGTCATTCAACATTGCTACAGGTTGGTTGCTGAACCTGGCTAAGCTATAGAAAAAAAGAAAAAAAAACAGGTTAAGAACATCAACTCTAGCATGTTTAAGTAGGTTTGCTAAGCTAAATGTCCCCCAGTACCTGAAATAGGTCCAATAAGACCTCATGGGCTTCATCACAGTTAGCTGTAGCTTATGGGCCTTTCCCATCTGTACCGGGTTGGCCCGGGCCGCCCCAGTCGGCCCCGGTTGATTCCACACATCCTTGCCTTAAGCCCATGTGGGCTGATTCTACCCACCAATGAGAGGCTTGCTCTAATGGAAGGTGTGAATTTGCTGTCAGCAGTGGGTGTGTTGGCCCTGGTCGGCCTGAAGCAGACCCCCTCGAGAAGAGGGCTGAGAATGAGCCTTGGTTGGCCCGGAAATGGGCCATTCCCATCTGTACCGGGTCGGCCCGGGCCGGGTAGCCCCGGTCGGCCCCAGCCTGGCCCGGTTGATTCCACACATCCTTGCCTTAAGCCCATGTGGGCTGATTCTACCCACCAATCAGAGGCTTGCTCTAATGGAAGGTGTGAATTTGCTGTCAGCAGTGGGTGTGTTGGCCCTGGTCGGCCTGAAGCAGACCCCCTCGAGAAGAGGGCTGAGAATGAGCCTTGGTTGGCCCAGAAAAATACCAGGCCACCCAGATATGTAAACAACCTATGCTACCCGGCCCAGGCCGACCCGGTACAGATGGGAACGGCCCAAAAAATACCAGGCCACCCAGATATGTAACCTACGCTACCCGGCCCGACCCGGTACAGATGGGAATGGCCCATTAGCTTCACCTACAGCTCAGATTTAGCGTAACAAAAGCTAAAATATTAGCAACTGTTTCATGGAGCATACCGACCACCACATATGCTACACACCCCTCCATGTCGGCTACAGACTGATATAAATAAGCCATTAGCTTGATACCATTATGAACTTTTTTCCTAGATTAACAATTTTTTAGCTACATTAGCTTTACTTTACACCATTGCTTTTCTCCAGGTTCACTCCGTATTCAACTTTTCAGTAGCCTAGCATAGCATGTATTTGTCCATTATCTGAATATCCCAAAAACCATTAGATTTCATGTTTCACCATTCGAGTCTTTAAAAATGGCCGTCACAGCTAGCTGATGTTAGCCAACATTAAAAATGGCTATAGCTCAGTCACTTTGAGACATTGATATGAAAACTGATGTGGAAATAGAGGAAAGTAGTTCACAACTAAATATCTAATGATAATTTTCAATCCAAGAGTAAAACTGAAACAGGATTTATGCTGATGGTCCAGCGAAGTGTCAACCATTCTCCACCGTTGGACGGGTAACAATAAAATATCTTAAAATGGTTCGGGACATAATTTTTAAATCGTGATGATTGCTACGGGATAGAATAAAAATAAAACCAGTAGAACTGTAGAACTGTACCTTTTAAAGTGGCACTGAACTGTCACCTCAGCTGGATTGGTCTTTAAGATGGAGGTGTTTCCAATGGGTGTTGGGGAGTAGATCAGAGAAAACGAGTAGATGAGAAACTCTTCGGTTATCTGAAGTGAGAAGAAAACCATTAAAGGGAAGTCAGAGGGCTCAACAGCAGATGTGAGAAGATGCAGACCGTCTTGTTGCTGCCACAGCCATGCAGCTCTGTCTGAAACAGCAGGATGTGGTCAACAGCATCCACCGCTAAGCAGCCTCCTAAAGTCAGATCTCTAGGATGGATCAGCTGACCATTTCCTGAGAAGATAAGACAAAAAAAAACACCCTCTGATCTGTCATCAATAACCCTCAGTGCAAGTATAAGTTCAGACCTTCAGTGTCTGGACACCTGACGGGACAGCATGGTACATGTAAGAGTGAAGAGACCATAGATCCATGTCCAGAGCCTGGACCAATTATGGTAAGCTTTTCAGACATTACTTCAAAAGAACTTCAAATGGACACACACACACACACACACACACACACACACAGGTGATCAATTCCAACAGTTAACGAGAAGCCATTACCGAGGAAGTCCCGTTTGACCGCCATGGTGACCTTTTCTTCACCACAGTGCACCGACACACTCTCAGCTGGCACAGGAACCTGCTGTTGGACCTCCCCCACCACCTGGAACACAAGTCGAACTCACTCACACTGATCATACAGTGTGTGTGTGTGTGTGTGTGTGTGTGTGCGTGCGTGTCTGCTGGAGGAGACTATACCTTTGGTTCCTTCTTGTCAGGTTTAAAGGACAGGTTCTGATCTGGACTTTGGGCCAACACCTCTGTAGCTCGGGTGGGTTCCTGTGGCTCTGGCTCTCGGTCTGGACGGACAGCCGCCAGCTTCTCAGACTTTTGCAGCTTCTGGGTCTCAGTTTGGGTTCTGAGCTGGTAGGTCTTGAGCTGGTAGGTGACCGGAGAACGCTCCGTCTGGTTCTGCAGCTGAGTGCTTACCACTGGCTTCTGTTCGATTTGGTGGAGAGTCTCATTAGTGCCAAAGATAAACGGGTTTTGTGCAGAGCAAAGTTTTCCAACTGCGAGGAGGAGCACAAACACCAGGAAAACCACCACTCTGAATCCCATTATCACACAGAAACCTGAGTGCGGGGGATTCCAGAGAGCACTTCTACCTTCCACCTGAAGAAATGAAAGCTCTGCACCAGCTCCACCTGCTCCTAATGACTTGATTGGATCCCAGCTTGGAGAGCTGATAATCTCTCCTGTTTCTGGCAGTTTGGCCTCTTAACTTTTTTGTTTATGATTTCATGAAAACCCTGAAGTTCTGCTTAATCTCCACCTGTCAAGAAGATAAAGATCACAGACTTTTCTAGTCTCATCGACCCCTAACAGTGAGAGGCTTTCGCTGCCCTTATGAGCCAAATCAGTCAAAAGCTATCGGTGGGTTCGTTTTTGGCTCTTGAACGTCGTGGCGACGCAGTTGGCGGTCTGCGTTCAGCAGGAGTCGCTCATAAATATGAGATTTATGATCGTCTATGACTCCACAAATTAAATATGTGTGTGTCATGTGACAAGAAGCAGAAGGCCGTGTGTTAAACCTCTACCAGCTGACACGTTAATCAAAGGATGGAAAAAGTTTGATTTATTACCAGGGTGGGGTCATTTATAGATGCTTACAGCCAGGAAATGGTCTGGATAACAACAGAGTGGGTCATTTTCAATATTTAGCCCAAATGTTAAATAACTGAAAGATGTACAAAATTAAATCTAAACATAAACATTAATTAAAAAATATTATAAAAGTACAATTAAAATATTGCAAAATTACACCAACGAGCTCTTTCATAATACAAAATCTAATGTTTAAGGATCCACAAATGTGCAGCCATAAAAGGTGGCAACTGAAAGGAGAATTTACAGAAAAATGTAACGTTTACATTGTTAATGTTTATTTACATTTTGTTACATCATTTATGAAACAACACAATCAGATACAATGTGATATGATACAATCTAACAAAAACAGAAATATGGAAAAATACCATTTTATTCTATACAATATGATATGACTACGGAAGAGGATTAGGGCCAGAAAAAGAAGAATTGAGATTTTTTTTTTGCAGAAGACTTTAATTCTGATTTTACAGCGGCCCTAATCCTCTTCTGTACATAATAAAAATATTATGAAACAATATTCTTTATATATATATATATATATATATATATATATATATATATATATATATATATATATATATATATATATATATATAAGTCAATGATAGCATGAATACTGTTATCCCATCAGTGTCCTGTTGGTGGCGACACTGCTTCCTGTTGGAGGCATGTCCAATCAGAACACCTCACCTGTCCGACCACTGAGGTGTCAACTGGAACGTTGAGCTTTAAACCATCTTCATTTCAGAAGCGACCACAGAAAGTGTGAGAAAAGATGCAGGACTTTCAAAATAAAGTTATTTTTATGAAGTGGAAGAAGAAGGCTGGAGAACTTGAGTCAGAGTAAAAGTATTGCATCGGTGAAAATAAAGGAACCAATGTTTCGACATTGCTGTCTTATTTACATGCCCAATAGTCTTCTTTTTTCATTTTCAGACATTATTTATTAACCATACCCAAACCCATTTCCAGACTTTCCCTACGGAAGACCACGCATGGACACAAAAACCAGACAGAACTGGTGTTTTGGAGGGTTAAATGAGTTTAGATGTGTTGATGTGGACCCGGTGGTCCTGGCCCACCTACAGGAATACATTAGCAGTTGCTCTTCGTCAGGATGTCCCTGTAGACTTCCACTACAGAGAGGCTGTCATTGTCAGGAACTGGCTTTTATCTTCACCTGATCAGCATCAAAACAAAGACAGGTGTGTGTGTGTGTGTGGTAGGACTAAAATCCGTCCATTCCTGCTCGTCAGACCCCCCTTTTCCTCGTGCTGCCCTCCCCTAACTTGGTTAGCTTCCACTAATTCAGCCCCAGAGGGCCTTAATTTGGTTCCCTTTGGGAGTTCTGAAAAAGGCCATGCAGTCCGTTTCAACACACACACACACACACACACACACACACACACACACACACACACACACACACACACACACACACACACACACACACACACACACCAGGCTGTCCCATCACTTTCTGTCCACTATAATCCTATTGTGCGCTTAGGTGATGACAAAATGATGCAGGTAAACAACGACAAAAAACATTCTCCGTCGACCAGATGGGAAATCGTCCGCCATGATGGCACACCAACAACGCAGATGCTCGGTGACAAACACACACACACACACACACACACACACACACACACACACACACACACACACACACACACACACACACACACACACACACACACACACACACACACACACACACGTAGAAACGTGTCCCTTGTCACATTCTGCTGACAGCACAAAGTCGTGGAAGCAGCTCGAATGGGCCCGAGCTGCTCTGCACCATACGGATTACGGTTATGGAGGCTCATTAAAAGCATGTAGAGGGAGAGGGATTAGTGAGAGCCTGCTGTTGTGGTGCATGAGTGGCGTCCAAGATCAGTGGATTTCCCTGCGTCTTCGTTTTGAATGGATTCGTGTTAGGCTTGAGGAAATGGTTGCTTTCTCACACGTGCAACCGTGTGTTTTACCTTTTCTTTTTTATCTCCACGAGCTACTCCTGGGATGATCTGATTAAAATTTTCTTAAATGAAATCTGTTTTAATCAACAAGCTAGGTCTTCTTGTCTCTTTCATTGTCTCTGCAACGCTAGCTTCTTTTAGAGTCAATCAAATTCAAAATGGCTGGCAATTTGACGTCAAATACACAGAATCTCATAAAACCTGAAGGATGTAAGTGAAATTTGTTTTTGGAGTCAACAAAATCCAAGATGGCTGCCACAGCTTATTGACAAACGTGAAAAAAACTCTTAACTTCGTTTTACAGACATTGAGCTGAAATGTGGTGTTGAATACGTTTAGAGTCAAAGCCATCACAAACTGGGAATTTGATTGAAAAAGTGAAAAGACTCAACTTTCAAAGCTAAATCTGAACATGCTAACTAGGTTATGCAAACTTTTCAACATCGGCATCTGAGCTAATAAATGACCGGTTCAACTGAAATAACCATAAAATATTGTTACTGAACTTTGAGTTTAAGAATATTGTACAGACAAATTACACATGACATTATCAAAACTTACCAAACTGGACCAAAATGGCTACAACTCCATTTTTTTCTCATTAGCTTAGCTTCACTTCCTGAAACTGGCATCATCATATTAGAATGTTAGCCTCTGTTGATGTAACTTTGGGTTTTTAACTTCAAATGATTAAACCAGTCATTGTAATTCACAAAAAAAATAACTTTCATTTTTGCAGCTAGGCTGACTGTTCCAACACAACGTGTGTAGCCCCCCCCCCCCCCCCCCCCCCGAGGTTCCTATCAATCCAAACTAGCTAGATCAGGGGAGTCCAAACTTTTCAAGATTATTTTTATTTAAAGATTGGAAACAATCATTTGTCATAAATATTTTTATTTGCATTGTTCAAAAATATGTGCGGGATAGACACATTTGCAAAAAAATAAAATAAGACGTATTAAAAAAATCATCTATGTACAACAGCAGCCTGCTGAAGGCAAATTTCCAAGCAACTGGGGCCCGCACAAGACCACTCTGAGGGCTGCAAATGGCCCCCGGGTCACACTTTGGACATGCTTATCTACGCAAAATGAAATACTCACAGTTTTATTATTCTTGTGATTTTCTAAACTGTCTAATTTTGAGTAGCAATGATGGAAAGAGAGAGAGGACAAAGACAGACGGAGGAAAACGAGACAGACAGGGAAGGCTTGGAACCATAAAACACGGGGGAAGGAAGAGAAATCTGTCTGGGGTCAGTGAACCTTTGGGTAAAGGATAACAGACAGCAGGTCTACTGGTGCTCAGCTCGTCCCAGTGGGAGCGACCAGGAAAAGCAGCAGCTCTGGTGCAACACGTCTCGCTCACGAGGACTCAGCTTTCACAAGCACAAGAAAAGCCCAGCTACGGGACACGCAGGGAGAAATGCATCACGCACGATTCTCCAGTAACAGCTGATGTTCCAAAATGCCTAAAATTCACCTCAGAAAGGAGGAAAATAAAAAAACTCATTTTTTATCCCAACATCTGTGACATTTCTCCTGAAAGCACGGTTGTCTGATGAAATAGCCTTTGTCCAGCTGTAAAGGTCCTCCGTGCAGGTTGATTGACAGATGTCATCACCTTCTGTGCAGAGGAACAATGCAGCTGCAGGAGAATGTGGAACTGACCTTTAGCCTTAACTTTCATCAACATCACTGACACCAAACTTTCTATCGGGGAGAGCGTTTTCCGTTTCCCTCTTTTCTGAGTCCCATCTGTTCTCCAGAAGAACTAATCTGATGATATTTGGCAGTTTTTCCATCGCTCTAGTTTGTGCACTTTGCAAAACCTTTCCATTCTTGTCCAAAATCTGACACTCAGGCACTTCTTCTTGAGTTTGATTGAAGGTTTTTTATGATTTTGTTGTCTTTGTTATTGCAGAATTCCAGATGCACCAGCACGGGTGGTTTCTAAATGAAAATTTCTGTCTCACTCCCAACAATGAGCAACTAGAAAAGTCAAGTTTGACACCAGAAGACCGTTCTCACATTAATCCTCTGATGCTCTTTAACTTCTCCTGACTTCCCTTGTCAGGATACAGTAAACATCTCACAGACCACCAGCACTGTGATTTACCACGGCCAGTTAAAGAGACGTTTTTTTTTCAAATGAGGACTATTTATTATGTTTTTAGTGCCGGGGAAGCAGGCGGTGAGCTGGAGGGAACAGAAACGTCAAAACACATCCAAACATGGCGGACAACTCCTCAAACCACATCTGCATCATCTCCACACTGTCACCACTTCACCAATAAATCATCTTCATGAGTCCTTATTAACCGCCTGATGAATTATAAACAACAGGTCTGGATGGTTCTCAGAAATAAACCAGAAGATTAGGCAATGTGGTCAATGTCTTAATTGTGATATTTTTGTGATAAATCCACATTTTCCTGATTCATCGCTTTCTGTTCACCAGTGTGTGTGTGTGTGTGTGTGTGTGTGTGTGTGTGTGTGTGTGTGTGTGTGTGTGTGTGTTTTGGCATATTGGCTACTATCATCTGTGTG